TTTTAGTCTTCGGAAGGGCCCTGAAACAATTTAAAAACAGTTTCCAAAAAGAAGAATCATTATTAGCCAAAGAGAGTGACGATCATAGTGATGCTTTTTGGGGGACTTGACATGGGCTCTGTACAGCATCCCAGCATGTGGCTGCCCACAGAGCACCATTGGACCCACTGGGATCTGAGGACTCATTAGCAGAGCTCCTTGCACTGCAGCCTGGACCTGCTGAAGAACCTTCTCCTGCTCTGTGCTGCGGTTCAAAGTTAGCAAGCATTCAGGTCACTTGGAAAATGGGTTATCTGTGGTATATGCAGTCTTCTAAATCCAAAGAGAGCTGCCAGGAACTGAGCATGTCCAAAGAAACTACCACACCCCACAGTCCTGAAATTCCTGACATCCTTTATAGTTCTCTGGCTACGGCCACTCACTCTTTTAAAGGCTTGCATTTAATTCCAGGTGACATGGGTGCTTTGTTGAATTGTTTTGCCCCGAGTTGATATGAGGTGTTTTAAGTCGCATACCTCAACACTAGATGCATTTTCTCTACCTCCAGCCTCAAAAGACTAGAAGACAGTCACAGATCACCCCACCCACCCCATTCCCCTGAGAGCCTATGGCCTACAATCTCTTCAGTTCCAATTTCTTTATCAGTTTGGTTCTTGGTTGCAAGCCACAGAAACCAATGCTGCCGGCTTTGAGCTCACAGAATCTCTGGGAGTGCCCAAGAACCAGGCTTGGAGGCTTGCAACCAGGAAGTGTCCAAAATCAGGCTACAGAACTAGTGAGGACAGCATGCTGTCACTGCCTGGCACAAGGCCCAGCTTGTCCTGGTAATACCACCCACACTGGGCACTAGGCACTGCTCCACAGCACTGCTAGCTTCCAGTTCTAAAGCTGGGGGGCGGGGTTTGCCTGAGTACAAAATCTAACTGCAGGAGAGTCCAGGATGGGGAGTACCTGGAGGTTCAGCTCCCATAATGTGGAGGATTCCTTCAGTCCAGGAGGGGATGTAGACCGGATGGGATATGACACAGAGAAGTCAACATGAGTTGACTTAGACTTGGGTAACTTGGAGAGTGATATATCACAGACTATAGTTAAGACTCAGAAAGTCAGCAGAAGTGCTGATTTAGGAAGGAAGTGATTAGCTCTGACATTAGACAGGTCACCCACCCCGGTTTCCTCACAAATAAGGGGGTTAGGTTAGAGCTGTGCTTTCCAACCCTTCACATCATAGCACCCAATGAAGACTAGAGAAATAGCTAGAAGGGCATATTAGATGTGGTAAAAATAAAATGTTTTTTTATAGATGTAATTATAATACAAATTAAAATTAAATATATAGTGTTAGGCAAAATAGTAAGTAGTGAATTTGTAACACTTCCTGAAAATCCCTTTTTTATAAATTTTATTGATTTTTAGAGAGAGAGGAAGGGAGAGGGAGAAAGAGATAGAAACATCAATGAGTGAGAACCTCAATTGGCTGCCTCCAGCATGCTTCTACCAGGGATCAGGCCCACAACTGGGCATGTGCCCTGATTGGGAATTGAACCCCCGCAACCTCTTGGCACATGGGTTGAAGCTCATCCATTGAGCCACACCAGCCAGGCTGAAAAATCCCTTTTTTATTTAATGAAAAACGAACTTGAATCTTGGTACCTAACTTTATGGTCTCAGGTTTGTGTTTTAAATAGCTCATGCAATTCCTAATCAAGACCTTTTAACACTGATCTCTTTAAATCACAAGAAGCTGTCTGCAGCAGTAGTTGATAAAATAAATTTCAACCATCTTTTGTAACTACTCAAACATAACAGTAGAAATTATATTATTGTTAAGAAATTAAGTTAGCCCTGGTCAGTTTGGCTCAGCGGTTGAGCGGCAGTCTGTGGACCAGAGAGTCCTGGGTTCGGTTCCCGCTAGGGGCACGTACCACCAAAAAAAAGAAAAAGAAAAGAAATTAAGTTATATTTAAAGCTCTCCCTCTTCTTTCATTGACTAATGTGCTTAAAAAATTTCTTGTGGATTTTAGATTCAAACTTTTAATAGCTGGTATTTCAAAAAAGCGATGAAGTTCTAATTTGCAGAACATACAGGCATTTTTAGAATAGTCACCTCCCAGTTTGGGCATCATTTGTGGCACATCAGCGACAAACAGAATTATCTAATATAAACATATGTAAAGACAGAGTTTCTGAGCTGCCTGTATCAGAATCCCCGCTGTGCCAACACTCACTCACTCAGGCTCCCCTCTCCACTGGATTGCTCCTCACGCTCCTTGAGTCCCTGAGACACAAACTCCTGCAGCATCTCCATACCGGCAATGGTGTGCCTGCATCTGGCTGCCACAAGTGGCCTCTTGCTCACTATCAGATCCCACTCTCTTGGGCAGTCAGAGGATGAGGCCGTAATAAACAGAGGTGACTGGTCCAGAGACCGCAGCCACTCAGGGCTGGGGGAATGATCATATCCACCCACCATATCGCATTCACTGTGCACTAGTGTGTGCCATCGCTAGTTGGGCAGGTCTGGATTAGATCATCTCTATGGGTCTTTCCAGTGCTAATGTCTATGATTACGATCCTGCTATGTTTCATATTGAAGTAGGCTGAATTTGGCTTATTGATGGAAAAATTAGGTGGGAATGTCTAGGAGACAGTTTGAAATGTGGACTGAGGCTCTGGAGAGATTGTAACTGGAGGTGTAATTTGGGAAGCATTATCATTAAAATGAAAATGGCAACTGTGCCCCGGCTGGTTTGACTCAGTGGTTAGAGCGTCGGCCTGCGGTCCAGAGAGACCCAGGTTCGGTTCCCGCTTAGGGGCACGTATCTGGGTTGCAGTTTGTCCCCGGCCCTGGTTGGGTCGTGCGGGTGGCAGCCACTCGATGTGTCCCTTTCATGTCGATGTTTCTCTCTTCCTCTCTTTCCCTCCCACACTATCTGAGCAAAAAATGGAAAAATGTCCTTGGGTGAGGATTAAAAAAAAGAAAAGAAAATGGCAGCCATGTGGATAAATTCAAGTCTTATGTACAAGAGTACAAAGAGAGAGCATATGTCATATAGGCCTTGGGGAATCACTTACATTTTAGGAGCTGGAAGAAGAGGAAGAGAAGTCTATTCGATGATATAGAGGATGATAAGTCAGTATCAATACTGGCTTTCGGGTAAGGCATAGTGAAGGGAAACCAAGGACAGATTGAGGAAACTGTGCCTCCAAACCTACCAACCTCAAATCTTAGTTTTTCTTCTATCTCTTCAGCCATTTCCCCCAGTTTCTCTTGTGGACATGTTTCCTTCTACCTACTGGCTAAAATGTCATTATCCTCAGGCTCTGTCCTACATACTTACACATCTCCTGGCCCCTCTAGCCCACTCCCATGACTTCAGTGGCCACCCAGTGAGCTCATGTTTCCCCTTTACCAGCATCTCTTGTCCAGACCCATGCCCTGATCACTTGTTTCTCAAGCAACTTTTTGACTAGTTTTCTTATATCCCTGGTACCAGAATATAAGTCCGAATTCAAACACAGATATTCTGTTTACCCAGGCCTAATGCAATCTATCAGTCCTTATTTGGGGAGGAGTACAGCCTGGCTCCAGCTGAGAAAACCAAACCCCATTCGGAGACCTCAAATTTTGCAACTCTGGAAGTACCCTGTGCAATGAGATAGGGTGACCAACTTATCCCAGTTTGCCAAGGACTTTTCCAGTTTTATTTATTTTTTAACTCATCTTTATTGTTGAATGTATTACAGATGTTCCCCCCTTTTTTCCCCATTGACTCCCTCCTCCCCAATCCCGCCTCCCTCCTGCCTTCCCCACATTATTGTGGAGTGTCCCTTGGTTATGCATATTTGCATAGAAATTCTTTGGTTTATCTCATCCCGCCCTCCCTCCCCCCTTCCCTTTGAGGTTCATCAGTCTAACAAGTAATTTGTACTTCTTAATTCCTTCATCTTTTTCACCTACTCCCTCAGCCCCCACCCATCTGGCAAGCAACAAAAAGTTCTCTGTATCTATGAGTCTATTTCTGTTCTGTGACTTTTCCAGTTTTAGCACTAAAAGTCCCACATCCCAGGTCCAAGCAAACTAGGTGGTTGGTCACCCTACAGGGAGATATCCTTTGTGAAGTATTGGCAAGGCAAAGGCCTGGAGAAAGAGTGGCTGTGTTGATCACATCCAGACATTTGATGAATACTGGGGCAGCGGGGGAGGAGCAGATATGCTCCAGCTACTCCCTAGGCCCCCAGGGCTTTTGCAGAGGTCTGCAGGAGCAGGTGGGGGCAACGAGACAGAAATTTAGGTACAAGGTGAATGCGGTCTCATTTAAACCCACAGGCTGGAGAGGCCCAGGGACTTTAGCGATGTATTTACATAGTCAGGATGAGGCCACATTCACATTTTTGTCTAGTGCTCTCTTGTCGATGATTCTACAACACATTCTTACAAGTTAATGGCTGCATCGTATTCCATCAAGACGATTCTGAGTTTGTTTCTAATTTTATCCTGTTATAAATAACCTTCACAAACATCTTTGTGCTAGAAAGTTTTTTCAGTATTAAAATATTTCAATAGCAATTTAAAATGTCAATGATTAAGCATATACATTATGAGATGGTATCCCATTTAATCCTCACAGCATCACTTTGGGGTACGTATTATTTTCTAAGGCCAGAGGTTACATAATTTTCCCAACGTCACATAGTGCGTGATGGAGGCAGGATTTGAGATCAGCATCACTATAAATCTTTTAAAATATGTTGATGAGCCCTGGCTGGTTTGGCTAAAAGGTTAAAGCATCAGCCCATGGACCAAAGAGTCTCGGGTTTGATTCTTGTCAAGGGCATGAATCTTGGTTGCAGTTCTGTTCTGGCCCTGGTCAGGGTTGTGCAGGAGGCAACCTGTCGATATCTCTCTCACATCAACGTTTCTCTCTTTCTCTCTCTCTCTCCTTCCCACTCTGTCTGAGGATAAATGGAAAAATATCCTCAGGTGAGGATATATATATCTCGCTTCTTGGCCTTTTGGCTAAAATCAAGTGTAGTATCTGTTCTTATGAGTTTAATATCTGATACATCCTCTAACCGAGGACAATATATTAAATGGATTTGGGGGATTAGGAGATGGACTAGGAGCTTGCTCCATCCACTCCATGCATCGACCTGGTATGGCAGTATATCTGGGAATGGTGCACCAAAAACAAGTAAATAAAATAAAATATGTCGATGGTGATTGTTTGTTAATTCAGGGCCACAACATCTCTTGCCTGGATTTGCTCAGAGAAGGTGGCGTTGCTGGGGGGACGGGGGCAGGACTTGAGCTAGGCAGATACACTATTCTGAATCACAGGAATGAGGGAAGCAAATTTAGGGGGGTAGAGATGTCCATGGTATGTCTTCACTTGATAAATATTTATTGAGCACCTATATTATATGCTGTTAGTATATACAATGCTATTTTGTGTAGAGTGAGGAGGTGATATTTGAGCTCAAACCTGAACATGAAAGAAGTCATCCATGTAAGATTTGGGAAAGAACTTTCTTGACAGAGTGGACCCAGTGTGTTTAGGAAAAATAAGACCATGTTGGGGCAACTCTGATCCTGGGCAGGTTTCTTGACCACTATTTTGTTACATGTAAATTGGAAATGATTATACACACCTCATAGCATTGTTATGGGTATTAAATAAAATAATGCACATAAGGATACCTGTTCAGTGCCTGAAATTCAGCCAAAATTTAATAAAGGTTAGTGGTAATAATTATTATGATTTTATTAATAAGAGAACACTGAGAAGTATATGGAAAGCAATCCAAAATAATCCAATGTTAATAGTCAGGAATCATGTCTGAATACAGTCCTGGGGCTACCATATAATAGCATAATTTGCAAAATTGTTTACCTTTTTGAGCATTAATTTTCTTTTTTTAATATTAATTTATTGATTTTAGAAAGAGAGAGAAACATCAATTTTTTGTTCCACTTATTTATGCATTCATTGGTTGCTTCTTTTAAAAAAAAAAATTTTCATTGATATTTAGAGAGAGAGAAAGGGAGAGGGAGCAACAGAATTTGTAGAGACAGAAAGTAAAAGAGTAGGGGAAAGGGGTACTGAGGAGTTATTGTTTAATGAGTTTGGAATTTTAGTTTGGGATGATGAAAAAGTTCTGTGAATGGATGGTGGTGATGATTGTACAACAATGTGAATGTACCTAGCACCACTGAACTGTACACTTTATTTTGTTGTTATTTTTTATCCTCACCCAAGGATATTTTTGCATTTATCTTCAGAGAGAGCTGGAGGGGGGGGAAGAGGGAGAGAGAAACATCAATGTGAGAGAGACACATCGAGTGGCTGCCACCCACTTGACCCCAACCGGGGCTGGGGACAAACTGCAACCGAGGTACATGTCCTTAGCGGGAACTGAACCTGGGACTCTCTGGTCCACGGGCCGACGCTTTCAGCGCTGAGCCAAACCGGCAGGGCTGAGATCTACACTTTAAAATGGTTAAAATGGTAAATGGATTTTATTTATGTCTATTTTTCCACAAAAAAATTATGTTTAGTGAAAGAAAGCAGAAATAAAAGACCACATATTGTATGGTTTCATTTATATGAAATGTCCAGAATAGGCAAATTCATAGAGACAGGAAGCAGTTGAATGGTTGCCAGGAGACGGAAGAGAGGAGAATGGGGAGTAACTGCCAATGGTCACCAGGCTTCCTTTCAGGTAATGAAATGTTCTGGAATTCTATAGTGGTGATGGTTGCACAACCTTAGGAATATATTAAAATCCACTAAACTGTACACTTATTTCAAAAGGTGAATTTTATAGTATGTGAATTATATCACAGTAAAATTTTAAAAAAATTAAAAAGTGGTACAAGGAATGGGGAAATTCTAGACATGCCTTAAGTCTTCTTTAATCAGTGCATCTCATCCATCAGCAACAAAGTTATCTCAACTATGCTATTTCTTTTACATATATATAAACAGGATGCAGGGGACATTATTTATTTATATATTTTTTATCCTCACCAGAGGACATTTTTCCATTTTTGTTCAGATAGAGTGGGGGGAAGAGAGAGAGAGAGAAATATCGACGTGAAAGGGACACATTGAGTAGCCACCACCCGTGCAACCAACCAGGCCCGGGTACAAACTGCAACCGAGGTACGTGCCCTTAGCGGGAACAGAACCTGGGTCTCTCTGGACCGCAGGCCGACACTCTAACCGCTGAGCTAAACTGGCCAGGCCCCAACTATACTATTATTATCAATTACAGTAGTAACATTTCCAGTCCCTTTTCTAACACACACATAAATCTCCACAGCAAATATGCAAGGTGATTTGTTTTTCTTTGTGATTTTAATATTTTTAATTTTTTCCCCCACAACTCCCCCCCCCTCCCATGGACTTGCTTTCTGCCTCATTTAGACTCTGCTTAAATTGACCTAGTTTTCTCTTTAATCAAACCCCCAGGAACCAATTCATTATCATTGAAAATTACCTAACAAGCTTTATTTTGATCATCTTTAAAAATCCTCTTTTTGTTTGGATAACGCAATCACAAAGTAAAAAATGTTATCATTTACTTGACCAGTAAGATGATTGGAGTGATGACGGGAGTGACTGCGGCTGAGAGCTGCCTGCCACACAATGGCTTGAGGTTTGCTGCGGGCCCCGAGAGCCTGAAAAACGCGTTGCCGGCATCTTGATAAGGAAATCAATTACTTACCTCATTCTGAGCAAAGAGAAGGACAGGATTAAAAAAAAAAAAAGAAGAACCAAAACAGTAAGAATAAAACAATTTGGGAAAAGACACACATTTTAAGCTAGTATTGCTTTGCTTGAAAATAAAGTCTTTCTGCCTTCAAATATTCAGGGTGATTTGTAGTCCTTCATTCCCAAGTCCTCTGAAACCACTGAGAACACCTGTCCTGGAAGCAGCCAGTGGCCAGCCTTCGGTCACCCCCATATCGTTTTCCTCAGCTTGTCAGGACAGTTACCCAAACAAAGTCGCCTCTGATCCTCCCCACCACAGGCATCCCATTCAAGAATCGCAGCCCCTGCTGGCTGGGAGTAGAAAACAAATTTCCTTTCCAGGGGGAAGTCACACACAATCTTGTTTCTGAACTGGGTTTCCGCCGTCCTGGAGTTACTTCTTTTGGCCTCACAGCTCCCTGAACGGCCTCAGCAAATAAGTGAAGCAAGTACAAGGTTTTCAAAGCCCCATTTAGTCTTTCTAACGGGTCATTTTCACTGAGCAATATAGGGACAGAATATTTTTTATTTCCTGATCGACTCAAGCTACCCCAAGTACCTTCACCATTTCATTATCTTCTCACCCTCACGAATGCTGCTTTCTCCGCCAGGAAGCTATAAAGCTGATGTCTCAGGAGACTCAGAATTTTATTAAAAATGTATTTGCTTTACTCAAAAATGAATGTATGTTAGCTTGATCATAAAATGAATGACCTTTTTTTAGTGGAAGGGAGGTGGTAAATGAAACATGGGACTCATTTGCCAGCTGATGCTGAAGGCATAAAATAAATAAGAGGCTGGTGGGGAGGTTGGATAGTGTATCCAGGGATTGAGACTGGAAGAGAAGAATCTGCTTTGCTGTGCCCTAGAAACACACACACACACACACACACACACACACACACACTCTGGATTACCCTCAAGGGCAGCCAAGGCCAGGCTGGGCCTTATTTCATAGGCTCTGCCCTCAGCCAGGGCAACTGTAGTCTTAAACCAGGACTGTGTCTTATTTTGCAGATTCTCCACCTTATGTTATGTTCAGAAAACTAGACCCAGATCCCAGAGACAAGGAACAGAACGCATCTTGCAGACATGCCTAGGCCTGTTTGCATAGATAGAATCCCTTGGCCAGAGCAATGGCCTAGAAATGAATGAATCCTAAATCTAGCAAGAGGCCTCTAATTGCCTGCAGCTCTGCCTCCTTCCTGACCCCCCTACTAGATGACCCTGGGCTCAACAGAACTGAGGAGTGGACTGGCCAGGCTGCATGACAGGGGTGACGAAAGTGTTACAGGCTCCTGGGTCTAGCCCTGCTTGCAACCCCTTTTTAAAAAGATATCAGATGGTTCGGCCACTGTAGCTCAGTGGTTGAGCATCAACCCATGCACCAAGTGGTGGCTGGTTCGATTCCCAGTCAGGGCACATGCCCAGGTTGTGGGCTCAGTCCTCAGTGGGGGGCATGCAGGAGGCAGCCAATTGAAGTCCTCTCTCATGGATGTTTCTATCTCTTTCACCCTCTCACTTCCTCTCTCTTTAAAATCAAAAAAGGAGCCCTGGCCAGTTTGGCTCAGCGGTTAGAGCGTTGGCCTGCGGTCCGGAGAGACCCGGGTTCGGTTCCCGCTAAGGGCACGTACTTCGGTTGCAGTTTGTCCCCGGCCCTGGTTGGTCGTGCGGGTGGCAGCCACTCGATGTGCCCCTTCACGTTGATGTTTCTCTCTCCCTCCCTTCCTCTCTCTCCCTCCCACTCTATCTGTACAAAAAATAGAAAAATATTCTCGGGTGAGGATTAAAAAAAAAAAAATCAAAAAAGGAAACAAACAAACAAAAAAATGTATCAGATGTGCCCTGGCCAGTGTTTTTCAGTGGTTAAGAACATGGGTTCATGGACCAAGGGGTCTTGGGATCGATTTCTGGTCAAAGGCAGGCACCTGGGTTGCAGGTTCAAGCCCTACGCCTGTGGGAGACAACTAATCAATGTGTCTCTCTCACAAGGATGTTTCTCACACACACACCCCCCCGCCTTCCTCCCTCCCTTCCAACTCTCTCTAGAAAGCAATGGAAAAAATATCCTCCGGTGAGGATTAACAACAACAAAGAAATCAGATGTATCTTTGTCCTATAAATACTCAAGAGTACATTTTGATCAGAAAAAGTTTTTTTTTCATTTATCTTCAGATAGAGCAGGAGGGAGAGGGGGAGGAAGAGAGAGAGAGAAACATTGACGTAAGAGAGACACATCCACTGGTTGCCACTTGCATAACCCCAACCGGGGCCGGGGACAAACTGCAACTAAGGTACATGCCCTTAGTGGGAACCGAATCCGGGACTCTTGGGTCCGCGGGCCGACGCTCTAACTGCTGAGCCAAACCAGCCAGGGCCAGAAAAAGTTTTAAGCTGCGTCATGGAAGGATTCATAGTAAGGCTAGATTTTTGT